ATTTGGTGTTTAACACTAAATCAGAGTTAACGTACCAACTCTCCAAAAAGAGTTAAATTAACACTCTCTGGTGTGGACCCATATAGACACTTTAATAGTGTTGAAATCAAATCCAACAGTGTTAATTTGGACATGCTGGATTTGCTGTGTACCACGTGTTCATGTGTGTGTTTAAACATTCAACGATTACATTCCTTTTGAAGATAAATAAAGCACATAGAGACAACATGTTTCCATGCACCTCAATTTATTTAAGATTTCCACAACACATATGAATCAACGATAAGACCTAGACAGTTATAATTCATCTAAAAGCATCACTCTTAGCTTTGTTCACATTAACTGGAAAACCAAAAAATCTGTTTTATTTGTTCTTGGATATCATCCACCTATGCTTTATTCAAATTTTTTATACAAGCCCAGATAAATGGTGTGGGTTGTATCATGAAGATCATAAAGAATGAAATTTCTGTACCACTTTGTTCGTGGCCCAGGTTAATAATGACTGACTCTAGTGTTGTAAGCTGACAGAGTGCTGGCTAACACTTTAACTTCTAAATAAAGTGCTCTGATTTGTAAAGCTGATAGGATGGAGAAAAGGAAGGTTTTGCGTGTGAATGAGACCAGGAAAGAATGAGATGGACATCAATGATTTACTGTGGCACACAAAAAGGGAGCAGCTGAAAGAAGAAGAAGAAGAAGAAGACGCTCACTACTGAGAATCATGAGCATCATGTCAAAACTTCAATATAGCCTATGTTGTTTTTGGCTAAATTCTTTACTGTTGGAACTGTTGCAAAGCAGATGTTACTATTGCAGAATGACACTGAAATCTTTCTAAAAAAAAATATTATTTTAGTTATACAGACAGTTATTTGAATTATCCTCTTGAGATACTTCACATAAATCTGACCAATCTCAAGTTTACACTTAGTTTAGGCCACCCTCCTCCACAGGGCACTATAAGCTGACTTCTTGCTTCTCTTTCTTTACACTTCTGTTGGGGTCACAGTGCCACCCATGAGACGGCAGTGAAAGGAGGTGAGGCGAGCTAGGACCTCTACCAGGGTGTAATGAGGAACAAGGATGCATAATCTGCGGGAGAGCACCACAAACAAGAGTCAACTTTTTTGAAGCAATACAACATGCAGTACAAACCTCAAAAGGTTTTATGATTTCATATACTTTACCTCAAATGGAAGCTGTCAGTCATTTCCCCATGTTCACCTGCACCAGCTAATACACCCTCCTCTTCCAGTAATTTCTGACAGTACAGAACATCAGCTTTCAGCCCCAATAACTGAAAACAGAAGTGCATATAGGACAGTATGGCTTTCAACTTTTGTACCATCAGAATGATGGGGTTTTTTTTAATATTCACATTTTTTTCACAATCCCTCAATAGTCTGTTTTCAAGGTTAAGCCATGTAAGGAATAAAGATGGAATCAGGTTCAAGTAAGGATAATGGTTTGGCATTCATTTGTAATGGCTAAACTTAGTGGTTAGACTTGGTATTCCATTAACATTGATAATAGACTGATGGAGAAAGAAAGATGGAAGATTGTTGGAACATTTCCCACCTTGGCCTGCTCCTTAATCCCACATGGTAAGTGCAGGCGAGGAAAAACATAGATTCCTCCAAGCACTGGCTGACACCTTACCCCTGGCAGTTTATTTAGGAGCTCCTGAACCCATTGAGCATTATGGGACAGAGTAGCCAGGATGAAGAAGGTCTCCTTTGTGAACAGAACAACAAGTAATTAAAAGTAAGAGTGTAACAAAGGACAACTGTTGGCTTTTGCTGTTTCCTCACCTGCATGTATGTGTGATACGATGGGTCTCCAGGTTGTGGCGGATTGACCATAAGATCCAAACCAAGCTGTCCTGTGACTGGAGTACTGATATCACCACACAATGTGTTATCAAAATAATAAATCACCTCTGGATCCATATTAACTACCTCCATGTATCCAGCCCTCAGACCACACCTAAGATGCAGACACAGATTATCTTAATTAATTTATCAATATAAT